AGTTACAGGTAAGCAACCTGTTTGTTTAAGCTGTATACAAATAATCAGAATGTGTGACATAGGAAGGAAGGAAGGAAGGAAGGAAGGAAGGAAGGAAGGAAGGAAGGAAGGAAGGAAGGAAGGAAGGAAGGAAGGAAGGGTCTATTAGAGGTCATTTTAATGTACTCAGAGTTAGTATCCTCTGCTGAGTCCACTTAAACTTGCCATTAAATATTCCTGTGAGGCTGAGTTCATCTGAAAACATGACCTTTATGAAATGTTTAAATGGGATATAAACTGTTGGTATTAAAAACCTAATTCTTCATTATTGTACAAAGCCATGTTGGCCCTGTTGCTTTTATCCTCCCTCTCTTTTACATGGGAACTAAAGGAAAGACCTTAAAGGATCATTTATGATGAACTGTTACTTTGATGGTTACTTTGATATCAAGATGGGTAGCTGTTTCGTCTGTCTGTGGCAGTAGAAAAGAGCAAGAGTCCAGTGGCACATTAAAGAAGGACAAAATTTGTGGCAGGGTATGAGGTTTCATGAGTCATAAGAGAAGTCATGTTGGATCAAGCCAATGGCCCATCCAGTCCAACACTCTGTGTCACACAGTGGCCAAAAACCAAGTGCCATCAGTAGGTCCACCAGCAGGGCCAGAACTCCAGAAGTCCTCCCACTGTTGCCCCCCAAGCACCAAGAATACAGAGCATCACTGCCCCAGACATAGTGTTCCATCTATACCTTGTGGCTAATAGCCACTGATGGACCTCTGCTCCATATGTTTATCCAATTTCCTCTTGAATCACTGCTCACTTCTTCAGAACTTTCTGAAGAAGTGAGCAGTGACTCAAAAAAACTCATGCCTTTCCACAGTTCTTCAATACCAGCAATCAGTCCTATGCTAACAGTGCAGTCCTAAACAGTGCAATGTCCCAAACCTTTATATGTCCATTGAAAGCAGTGGGCTTAGAAGAATGTAGCTGTCTTTGGGATTGCACTGTAAAGGTCTTTCTCCCATAATTTTTTCAGTGCTTACAGCAAGCATTTTGCTGTGAGACCTAACTTCAATATGACAGAATTGAGTAATAACATCATACTCTGCACTGTGGAATATTTTTAAACATCAGACTTTATATCTATCATACACAATGTACGTATGTGTTAAAAGATAGCTACGATAGTGGTAACAGGGTATAGAAGAAAAGTGATCATGCTTTTTGTTGTTGTTGTTGCAGTCTGTGGAGAACTGCATCTGTATTCTACACAATCTGTCCTACCGCCTGGATTCTGAGGTGCCTAATAAATACACACACCTTAATCACATGGCCAGGGGCACTTACACTGACAAAACCCTGACTGGTTGCTTCAACAACAGAGGGGGAAAAATGGAGGTAAGAATTGTTGCTTGGTGGTGCTTCTTCCATGTATTTCAGCCGGCTGCATTCATTCCCATCCCTGCTTCTTGCTACATTGCCAAGCACTGCATATGTGACTGCCATGCTATCTCTCTGCAATAGGTCTAAACACATGTGATGATATTTGCATGTCATGTTGCTGCAACCTGGATTACAAAATGCAGCTTCCTGGATTTTTCCTCTTTTTTTATTCTTAGTATGATGAGTATGATCTGCCCCTTCCTGAGGAGGACTATAAACCCAGGGGATCCAGCTGGCTCTACCATTCAGATGCCATCCGGACATATCTCTCTCTGATGGACCAGAGCAAGAAAGATGCCACCTTGGAAGCTTGTGCTGGAGCCCTGCAAAATCTAACTGCAAGCAGAGGACTGGTAAGAAACCTGACCTGTTTATATAGCTGGGGAAACAAACTGTCTTTGCTTAATGCACTTATACAAAAGGCAGGAAAGATTATGCACTTATACAAAAGGCAGAGTGCAATTAAAGCCAGTGAAAGCTGTAGAAATAACAATTTTCCAGAAGAGTCTTCTGCCAGTAGAACCTTTATTTTTCTGTAATGGAAATAGTTGCATCCAAATAATCAAATGTCTTCATTTCTATCATAATATAGCTCAAAAACATTCATTTGGGGCGAAAGTATTTTCATTTACTCTTCTGCTTGTTTTGAACAACAGTCTCTTTTGTTGTAGTTTTGATCAGGTGTTGGGTTTCCTAATTCAGAAGGAGCTCCCAAGTACTCAATTTATTTATTTGTTGTCCCGGTTTGAAATGAAATATGTTTTGGTCACCTTAACACTTTTTGTGAAAGAAAAAAAACACATCTCTAGATAATTCTTATAAAGACTACTAATGTTGTACTCTGGCCACATCGTTTTGTTGCCTAGATGTCAAATGCAATGAGCCAGCTGATTGCTACAAAGGAGAAAGGTTTACCGCGTATAGCACGGCTCCTGCAGTCCACTAATGCAGAGGTTGTCCGATCTGGTACATCCTTGCTGAGTAATATGTCTCGACACCCCATTCTCCACAAGACTATGGGTAAGTGCTGTTTTGCATTCAAAAAGTGTTAATTGGGGTCCTGTTTGTCCCCAAGACGAATCCGTAAGAAACGCACATACTCAAATGGCAGAACTGAAACAAATCAAACTGTTTATTGAGACAAAATGAGCAACATACCATGAAATAAACCAAAAAACACTACTGGGAGGAAAAGAAATTAGAATAAAAGAAACAGAGAGAGAATAACCAAGACTTACATGCAGCATCAAGAAGTAGCACAGAATACATAAATGATGGCGAGATGAACTTATTATCAATCATTTGCAGACTGGAAAGTGTCAGTCATCCTCCAATCAAAAGAACTGAGCAGAGCAGAGAGATGAAGTTAGTGCACTGCACACAAAGCAACAAAAAACCCAATAATAATAAAATAATAGCAAATAAGAAACATAGTTATGTGAACATAAGAACATAAGAGAAACCAATGTTGGATCAGACCAATGGCCCATCCAGTCCAACAATCTGTCACACAGTGACCAAAAATACCAGGTGCCATCAGGAGGTCCACCAGTGACACAACTAGAAGCCCCCCCAAAAAACACCAAGAATACAGAGCATCACTTGCCCCAGACCAAGAGTTCCTATCTATACCTTGTGGCAAATAGCCACTGATGGACCTCTGCTCCATATGTTTATCCAATTCCCTCTTGAAGCCATCCATGATTGTAGCCGCCGCCACCTCCTGTGGCAGTGAATTATATGTGTTAATCACTCTTTGGGTGAAGAAGTACTTCCTTTTATCCGTTATGTGGTGTTGCAAAGGAGCCTAAGACATTCCAGCTTCTAGTCTACCTATCACACTGTCCTGTCCATTTAAAACTAAACCTCCTAAATTACTGTAAGTGTGCAGCAGCTTCCACAGTTACGTGTTAAAGGATCAGGACCTGGGATACCACCAGGTTATGCACCACACCAACTAACTGTCCTTGACCTTTTAAAACTTTTTCATGATTAGGGGTGGCACTGAGATTGTATCCCACGCCTCAGGGATGGGGACATGGGTGTAGAAATAATCTTTCCACACTTCTTGTTTATCTAGTCCCTTTCCCATGGGGAGAAAATCCCTGTTCTTTGTCCATTGCCTATTCCTTGGTTTGACTATTTGGGGTTGTTATGCCTGTTGCATATCTCATTTCCTTATATGAGTCTTTGTTCTGCCCAGCCCCATTGAAAGACATTAGGCATTTATTGGCTTGTCTGTGCATTTCGCATTTCTGCAGTTCCTCATCAAAGGCTCCTAAGTAAACTCAGCAATCGTGGGATAAGAGGACAAGTCCTCTTGTGGATTAAAAACTGGTTAATTAACAGCAGACAGAGAGACTGAGTATAAATGGGCAGTTTCCACAGTGGAAGGTGGTAAGCAGTGCGGTACTACAGGGCCTGGTATTAGGTCTGGTGCTTTTAATCTTGTTCATTAACGATTTCGAGTTGGGAATAAGCAGTAAAGTGGCTAATTTTGCGGATGACACTGAGTTGTTCAGGACAGTGAAAACCAGGGAGGACTGATAATCAGCCCAAAAAAACAACTGTGTAAAAATAACTATCACACCATTTATTACTACTAAACCGTTTATATGAAAATCATAAACACTGAACAATAACAAGATAAATAGAAAAGCAACTCTGTCTACCAAACCAATATACATTAGAAATCGCTTTATAACAAAGACCCAGGCGTTCACAAAAGATATGCCTATGAATAAGATGTAAGATGCTTGTATGATAAAAGTCCCATAAACATTTCTTCCACAGAACAAAATAACATCATATTCTTTTTATCGAATGAGGTAATCAATGTTCATCTTTGAAGAAAGCAGATTCCATCAATGCTTCACCCGTTGGCTAGCTGTGAAGTTCCCACATATCACTGATGCTTCATCAAAAGAAGAACCTATAACATGATCCAAAATCTCTCATATGCACAGACTTCCTAAGCCATTCAATCTTGTCAAAAGGTTTCAAAGGCTGGACAAGTGGGCATCAATGTATAGATCTATGGTGCGACCTCATTTGGAATATTGTGTACAGTTCTGGTCACCACATCCCAAAAAGGATATTACAGCTTTGGAAAAGGTGCAAAAAAGGGCAACAAAAATTATTTTAAAAGGTTAAAGAGGTTAGGGCTCTTTAGCTTGGAGAAACAACAACTGAGGGGAGACATGATAGAGGTTTAAAAAATTATGCATGGGATAGGGAAGGTAGAGAAAGAAGTACTTTTCTCCCTTTCTCACAATGCAAGAACTTGTGGGCACTCAATGAAATTGATGAGCAATAGGTTTAGAACAGATAAAAGGAAGTACTTCTTCACCCAGAGAGTAATTAACATGTGGAATTCACTGACACAGGAAGTGGCGGTGGCTACAAGCATGGACATTCAAGAAGGGATTGGATAAACATATGGAGCAGAGGTCCATCAGTGGTTATTAGTCGCATGGTATAGATTGGACACTATGTGGGACAGTGATGCTCTGAATTCTTGGTGTTTGGAGGGCTACAGTGGGAGGGCTTCTGGAGTTCTGGCCACATTGGTGGACCTCCTGATGACATCTGTGTTTTGGCCACTGTGACACAGAGGGTGCGTTCAGACGGGGCCTTTCTGCCGGCATAAACTGCACCGGTTGGAACCGGTGCCGTTTATGCCGGCAGAAACGCGATCACACTTACCTCCATTTTGCGGATCCCATCGTTGTATGCCCGGTCACACGCTGTGGGCGTCGGCGTTTTTTGTTTGTTTTTTTTAAACACAGTTTGAGCATGCACATAGGCAGCCATTCACAGAATGGCGATCTTTGCGCATGCTCAACACTCCCCCATTACATTTAAACTTTAAAGGTAAGGACTTACCTTTAAAGTTTAAAGACCAAACTGGCCTCCCTGAAGTCCCGGACTCCTCCGGATAGTTAAAGTAAGGGCTTTTTTTTTTTTTTAACAAACGCTCAGGGCAAAGCTTCGCCCAAGCGCATATCGCTCAGTTTTTTTAAAAAAATGGCGGGGGGGAAACGGAAGCCTCAGGCTTCCGACGGAATGGCTAGGCACCGGTGGAGAGCGATCAGACGGCAAGGTACAGCGTTTACAACCGTTGCACTCAGGATACCACCACTCGGGACCTAGTGGCAGAGTGCAACGGTGTAAAGGGCTTTACACCAGTTAGGGACAGGAGGCAGATGTTCCCCATCTGAACGCCGGTGAGTACAACGATTGCAACCGGCACCTATACCGATGTAAAGCCCCCGTCTGAACGCACCCAGAGTGTTGGACTGGAGGGGCCATTGGCCTGCTCCAGCATGGCTTTTCTTATGTTCTTATGTCTTCTTGTGTGCTATAACTCTTTTTAAAAGGTTTGTGTTAACAAGGTGCCCATTCAGAAGCACTCATGTCTCATTGCCAAGCTATGTCTGTTCTCTTTAGGTAGTTCAGGACTTCTTCTGCTGGTTTCATAATTCTTGCTTCCTGAAAATACTTCCAAAGTGACTTCAAGTGCAATCCTAAGTAGAATTTTACTTTCTGAGGCCACTGGCTTCATATACATACGATGTTTTGAATTCACCTATGGGTGATCAGTTCACCCAAAACATTTCATTAAGATAGCTACACAATCATACACATGATGTATGGGCTATTCCCACTGTATGGAATGGGCTCACTGAGAAGAGGAGGATGTGCTGGCCATGGAAGTGTTTAGGAGGTACTGCAAGGCTGTTTTCCTGTGCTGGGACATTTAATGAGGCTTGAGCTACAGGCATTCTCTGAGGATTAAACTGTTATTGAATTATGTTGCTGTTTTAAATGTTTTGTTGGGGCAAGTGAAGCTCTGTATTCTTGGGTCTTGGGCAGGTGGGCAACAGTGGGAGGGCTTCTAGTGTCCTGGCCCCACTGGTGGACCTCCTGATGACACCAGGTATTTTTTTGCCACTGTGTGACAGAATGTTGGACTGGATGGGCCATTGGCCTGATCCAACATTGGCTTCTCTTATGTTCTTGTATTAATTTTAAACCACCTTGAACTGTGAGGGGAAAGGCAGAGTATAAATATGCTTGTAAGTAAATACTGCAATATTGTATCACAAAGGTCCTATGGAAAAACATTTGTTATTTTACTAGTCACCTATTGTTCTTGAGGCTGATAGGGAATGTGTCAACATGTTTTGACTGAGCTTGATTGCCACTGGCAAATCTACATCAATTTCACGGCTACCTGAGGCTGCTCTGCTACGGCTTCCCACACAATCCATTTGCTTCTAACTTCATTGGTACAATTGTGACTATGACTAATGTTTCCCCTTTGACCTGATTCTAGACCTTTCTAATGATATTAAGGCTGTGGTCACACACACTAAATAATCCACTTTCAATCCACTTTCAGTGTGCTTTCCAACTGGATTTTACTGTGTGAACTGGCAAAATCCAGTTGGAAAGCGTATTGAAAGTGGATTGAAAGTGCATAAATCACTGAGCGAAAGGTCCGGGAGGTGAGTCCGTGAGCGTGCCGCCATCAACCGGAAGTCCCATGCGAAAGGGAGGGGGGAGCAGAAGAATAAACGTGTGATTGCCCAGAAGTACTCACCCAATCGAGCTATACAGTTAAGCGCATATGTTTTCGTGTAAGTAAACAAACAGGGGGAAAATGGCGGGGAAGAGGGACAGAGACAAAGAGAAACTTTTAAAAACGAAACCAGAGTCCCCGAGACCAGAAACGACCAGTGAGACAACCAATGCGATGGCTGAGGTCATGCGCCCTCTACTGGAACAGCTCAATGTCTTTAAAGAGCAGATGTCGGTGGTAACAGCGAATATAACAGCGCAGCAAAAGCAGCTTGCAGTTGTAAAAACAAGCATCACTGCTCAACAAACGCAAATAATGGACTTGATCCAAGTAATGAAGCAGGATGCGGAGAAAGTAAAGGAAATGGCTGAGACAACACAGAAAGTGAGGAAGAAAGTGCAAAAATTGGAAAAGAAAACTGTTTCTTTGGAAGATCAGATGCTGCAAGTGCAAATGGATAAGGCCAACATGGTCCTGCACTTCCAAGGGGTGCCAGAGAATAGAGAAAATCTTAAAGAACTGATGAGTGAGCTACTCACCCCAGCAACAGATATAAAGGCGAAATTGTTACTGAACGACATGGATGTGGCCTACAGGTCATATTCAGGATATATAAAGAAAAATAACCTGCCTGGGGAAATTGTAGTAAGATTCTCGAAGAGGCACATCAGGGATGCTATCCTGAAAGCAGTGGCTGTGACACCTCTGAAGGTGGGGGAGAATGCGGTCAGAACGCTAAAGGATATTCCATTTGAAGTAAGGCAACGGAGAAAGAAATACAAAGAACTTGTGCTCTTCCTCCAAACAAATTCAATTGGATACAAATGGCTATTTCCAGAAGGAGTAGCATTTAAGATCAAAGAGAATAAGGTTAAGATTGACTCTGTTCTTAAAGCTCAAGAATTTCTAAAGGAGCAGCTGGGAAGGTCAGAGGAAGAGAAAAAAGAAGAAGACAGTAGGTACAGTGGCGAGCTGGAAACTGGTTCATCTGGCGAGGACTCTTTGTCTGAGCACGGGGCAGCAGCCCCGAAAAGTCCCTACAAACTGTGGAAAAGAGAGAAGAAGAAGGAAAGGCTGAAGGACTCTGAATTGTGCCTTTGAGAACTTTGGTTCCAGAGGATGATGGGGGGCACTGTTATTGGGCAATTAAATGTAAATAGGGAGGGTTAAAAGTTCTAAAAGATTGACACAGTTCATAAGAAATACAAAGATGGTAAGTTTGGATGCTAAAAAAAGAAAGTGGATTGAAAGTGGATTATTTAGTCTGTGTGACCGCAGCCTATGTCTCAACAGGCCTTGTTGAGGGTCTGTGGGAGCTTTGCAGCTTTTCATTTACCTGTATTCTGTTCTCCCCCCCCCCATTTAGCTCACCAGGTACTCCCAGATGTGACTCGTCTCCTAGCTCTGCAGGCTCCAGGTTCCAGCAACTATGGAGACATTATGTCATCTGCTTGCTACACCCTGAGGAACTTGATTATGTCCAATCCACAGATGGCCAAGCCTTACCTGACAGGCAGTCTGATTAATAACGTAGTAGGCCTGTGCCGAAATGGGTGAGTAATGGATATAAAGGAAGGACAATGGAGAGACATGCAAATATGACAGATAATATCACAAATACCATGAAGCGGTGTCAGTTAGTAACTTCTTAGTAGCTCCCATTTACTCTAGGCTTTTTGGCAGATATATTGTGAACTTTTTTTTAATAGAGCCTCAGTATTTGGAAACCATTTCATGATACCTAAATTAAAGTTAGTAGTGTTGGCCATAGAAGAAGCCTGAAAAGCTCCATTCTGAAGAGTACATATCAGTTCTAGTTTACAAGATGTACAATGTGGACACTGTCTGTACCCGTGGTGATTCTTGTTTACCTTTTTGCTGTTTACAGCTCCTATCCAAAAGCAGCTGAAGCTGCTCGTCTTCTATTGGCTGACTTGTGGTCAAACAGGGAGCTCCAGTCTATGCTAAAACAGGTAAGTGAACAAGGTGGTGCCCCTCTTTAACGGTTCATAAAATAATATGGCAGCTAGATAACGCAACCCAATGCATCCTTAAAGAGCAAAAACAATACAGCAAAGACATAATAATTATATGAACATGTTGATAAAACTGGGATGCATAGAAGTTTGATTAGCTGTCAAGATCTAAAGTAGATCTTCCAGCTGTTTTGCTGTTTTAATATAAAATTCAATTATTTAAAATGCAAACAAGATGGTATCTTATGTCAAGTCAGTTACATAAAAATGAACAAAAATTACAACCCAAATTGTTACAAAAATTGTGGTCACCAGGCAGATTTTATCCACTGTTGGTGGACTTGTGAATTAATACAATTGTACTGGAAAGAGGTCATTTCGGGGGGGAATGTGGGGGAACGCAGTTCCCCCGGGTGAGGTGCAGGGGGGCAGAGCACATGATGAAGCCCCGCCCCCTGCTTCCGGCCTCCCCGCTTCCAGCCCTCATTCAGCCAGGAGGAGGCAGGAGAAGAGGAGGAGGCAGGGGAAGGGGGAGGGTAAGTTGCTTCCCCCCCGCCTCTCCCCACCCCTGCCTGCCTGGAGCCAGGGAGGGCCTTGGCGGGGCTTCCTCGCACTCCCGCTGGCCTTGCAGGTCCACCGCCGGGCCCCTGATGTCAGGGTGTGTGGCATATGCTAATGAGTTATGCTAATGAGTTCCCCTAGCTCTTTTTCTATGAAATGACCCCTGGTACTGGAAAGATATTATTCAACATATTAAACAAATAACAGATTATTATTATTTTTAATACTAGAACGGTTTCTACTTGATTTTTGAAAACAACCTTTAAAGGATAAAAGTAAAATGAAATTAATATCAATATTGTTAGCTATAGCCAGAATTACATTGGCAGCTATGTGGAAAGATAAGAAAATACGTACGATTGAACACTGACAAGCTCAAATTTGAGACTACTTTATAATGAGTAAAATCTCAGATAGTTAATTATACCAAAGTAAATAATTCCACCAGTAAATTTGTCGAAGTATAGTTTCCTGTAGTTCAATATATAACTAAAAAAGATATACTTCCTAAAATACATTTTATCAAGATATGTTATTTTTTTAACAGATCTCTGGTTTATTTGTAGATAATCAATAGATATGAAAATGTTATTTTGGTGACTATCTAGAGGTTGCATGTTATTTTGTATATAAAGGTTTTTTTAATAAAGTTATTTCATTAAAATAACAAAGTAGATCTCCTAGGAAAGATTCTTGATATGTCTGCTGCATGTCTGTATTCCGTAAGAATTGCTGGAAAAGGGTAGTACAACTAGTCACATTTTTCTTATGTTTAGGGATCCTTTCATCTGTAGATGGAAGGCAGCTTAAAAAAAAAGTATTCACTTTTTACAATAATGGGCTCAGGAAGTTTGGGCCTAGCCAGTGAATAGATGGAAGACTGATTGGGAGTTATATTACTCTAAGTTCCTTGAAGGAAAAGGTAGAATGAAATGTAGTAAATAAATAAAACAATAAATACAAAACCACTCTCTTTGTGTGTATGTGTGTGTGTGTGTGTGTGTGTGATGGAAAGCTAGAGGACAGTGGCTAAGAGATTGGCATATGATAGGTATGATGTGCATGTGTGTGTGCGCAAATAACACATGGGCACACACCCAATATTTCTGTGTGTTCATGGAAATATATATTCCCTTAGTTTGGGAGATATATATTTCCATGAACACACAGAAATATTGGGTGTGTGCCCATGTGTTATTTTCACACACACATTCACATCCTAACACTTGACTTCTTGGGAAGTCTTTGGCTCCCATTAATAACCTGGACAGTGCCATCCTGAGCATTAATGGGCTTAGAAGTGTGTAACTCTGTTTACGAGGGCACTGCAAGTGGCTGTTTCCTTCCTGCCTAATCTTCTACGTGCTTCATTTCTATGGCTCATTCTGCAGCAAGGATATGATAAGAATATGATGGGATCCCTAACAGGGAGCACTTTCAGGAACCTGTCATCTAGATTCTAAGAAGATATCTGCATTACATTTGATAACTGCAGGTAAGCATCTCAATCTGATTTCAAGGCTGGAGTAAAATTCAGAAGGAAACAAGATAATGTTTGTTCTCCAGCGGCAACACCTCTTAATGTAAATGCTGCTAGGTTAATTTTCTTAAGGTCTTGATTTGGTAATGGTTTCTGATGGCATCATTTGCAAAACACACCTGCATACGTATCTTATTCTACAATCTGAAGCAAGGCAAAACTAGGAACTAGCAGAACTCAGTTGGTGGTTGTAATTGCCAGTTGAAACTTTTTTCCTCCAAGATGCAAACAGCTTTTCAAAATACATGCAGTATAACATAACCAAACTTTAACACTTTTTAAATCCCATTGATTTTAAAGGGTGTGTGATTTAAGGAAGTGGCTAACTTTCCCATTTTGCCACTGGGATTAAAAGAATTTGGCTAGATGTTGCCCATGCTCTTTTTCTGACATGGAGAGACATTAACCAGGCCTGTGACTCATCCATCATTATCGCTAACAACAACAAAATACTACACAGATTAATTTTTATGATGTATTTTCTACTTGGGCTCAAATGCAAAATAAAAACACCCACATATTGCATAAAACCTGTGACTTTTGCCTTCAAAATACTCTTAGCTGGCCATCATGAAAGGTGGAAGACTCTACCTGCAAGCTTCTTTTTTTTTAGAAAAGCTGATTTATATGTGTACGTTTTTCATAGCTGATGTAGTACTTATGCGATTTTGACTCTCAGAAACTGAATTAAAAATGTATCATAAAAATAGTTCAGCCCTTTTAAAAAGAAATGAGCTAGAAAGTGAATTGAGTTGTTGCCTTAGTCAAGCTAAAACATACAGGTACAGTTAATAGACAGATCCTACCAGGTACCCAGAATATCTCAGAAAATTCCCTGTCCTGGTAACATTAGGTCAGATCCTTCCAGCTTTGTGCCAGCCAAAGTAGATCAGTCACTGCCTTGCCCTGGCAACATCCTGTGACCCCACCCCCAAAAGATGATGCTGGACACCCATGTGGATAAAAAGCCACGGGGACTGGGGAGTTGCAGCAAGGAAAGGATGCAGCTGAGATTGTCACTCTTATCAGCAGCATGTTGGCTGGGTGCAACACACAGGGCGTGATCCATGCAAAATGCACACTGCTGTACAAATGGGAGAATATTGACATAGGACTAGGGGTGTGCAGGGGGGGGAATTCAGTAATTTTTTGATTCGGGTATAATGAAACCGAATTTTTTCGGTATCCCCAAATATACCTGAATACCAATACCAGTAATATATTGGTATCTGGAAATATTTGGGAATACTGAAAAAATTCAGCTCCATTATATCCTATGGCTGAACTCAGTGCCATTGTGGCAAATACCACCTCAACAGGAGGACTGATGTCAACTTAAGCACAGAATCATCACAACAACAATACACAGAAGAATTTCAAAAAAGAACAAATTTCTGTGATTGGCCAAAGAGTGTGCCCACTCTTACCTGTAATCCTATTGACCAGTGCTTCTCCCCCCTCCTGTCCCTGGGAAAGCAATCTAGTAATTGGGCTTCAAGTTTGAAGCCAGCAACAACAACAGCCTTGCAAGCTGCAATGCCATTCGCAAATGCATTGTAGTGATCGGCGATATGTAAGATTTCTCTTCCCCCTCCCTTCTGGAAAGCAGAGCAAAGGGAAGGAAAGAGACAGAAATGGCAGGAAAGAGAAGGTAAGTCCTGCCCTTTAAAGGGCTGTACTTACCTTCTCCTTCCTGCCATTTCTGTCTCTTTCCTGCCCTTTGCTCTGCTTTCCAAAATCATTGATTCTGATTTTGCTTGCTGAATACATGAAAAATGCTGAAAAGAAATTTGGGGGAGGTTCAGTTCGGCTTCACCAAATGCACACCCCTACATAGGACTCAATAGAACTCTCTTAATTCATTTCTCCTCCTTGGCTGTACTTGTATAGCCTAAGAGGAGGACTAATAAGTACATTGGGGAAATTGGAAAGGAGATGGATGAGTGGATGAGGGATGAGTTATATGGGAGATGCACATTAGCCTATTTCTCTAATGAATGACCAGCTTACTGTGATCTGGGCTTGGTTATGCACATGTGACTGAAGAGATGAAGGAAGGAAAAGGAGTCATGGCCAGTCTCCTTCCATGGGCACAGCAGCACATGAAGAGGCATTTGGGGACATTGCTCAGTGTGTAGGTGATGAACCCTTTGAAATTATTAATTTTACAGAAATTTTCCTTTTCTTTCAGAGTTTGTAACTGGTTCCTGTCTGGGAGACCTCAACCCTCAAGGAATTAGTTAAGTCGTTAAAGATGTACACAGTGTTTTGAGAGGTCAATTCAGTTGTAAAACTAGGTATGAAAAATGTTTTGCCTGATTATAGATATCTGAAAATGTTTTAATATTTTTTAAACAAATTCTTTTTTCTGGGGGCACATTGGGGGTTCAGAGGTTAATGTCACTTGATGTTAATTGTTATATCTGTAAAAATGAATGGGGGAAGTACAATTTGAAAAGGTTTAAAGAGTAAATCAAGCACCAACCTCCCAACTTATATCTTGGCCATAATAGGCAAGTTTACAAAGATAGTACCAGTCTAACCACCACTTTCAGCTTCACAGAATAGCATTTCTTTATATCCGTTATATAGTTATCATATGAATATAGGGAGAAGCAAATATTGAATGTCATAAAAGACATTTGGGTGCCATATAAATATGTCTAAGTCTTTTTCATTCCTCATTTTCATCACATTGTATACAGTTACTAACATTCTATATGTTTATTTCACTGTTGATGGTCATGATACTGAGATATTTAGCATAGTGTTGTAGTTTCAGATAGCTGGGTTTCTTTTTGTTGAAAATTTACTGACTTCAATTTACATTCATATCTTTATCAGGTCTGCTTTCATATTTCATGTTACTGGTAAGCATTTTTTCCTTATAGGCTGCTTAGTTTTTAAATCCCAAGAAGCAAATTCATGTCAGAGAAAAGTGTCCTTCACAGGTTCTAGATAAGTGTTTTTAAATTTTATTTTTGTACTGTATATGAATAATGACTTGTGTGGAAGGCAGGAACTCAGGAGGTTGTGCTTTATGAAGGCTACCCCGTGCACCACTGTGGCTCTGCTGTCTTTGCTTTTTAAATGTAAATCTGTCACCTGAACATATCTATAAAGTTGGTAAGTTTAGAAAGATGATAAATAAATATGTCCATGGTAGAGAATCAGAGTAGCTTCCTGAGGTTGGTCAATGGACATACCAACAGAAATAGTCTATTAACTAAGAACTAAAGAAGCTAAACAGACTGTGTTGTATAATTTTCAAGTGCAGAAGCGTACAACTTGTGAACGTGTGAAGCTGCCTCACACTGAGTAAAATGGTCAGGCTGTCTACCTCAGTCTTGTCTATTATGGCTAAGCAGGGACCCTCTAGGGTGTCAGACAAGGTAGATATTTCCCCAGAAAGATCCTTTAACTAGAGATGCCAGGGACTGAATCTGGGACCTTCTTCTTGCAAACATGGTAATCTAACACTGACCTCTGGTGCCTCCTCAGTGACCAGTAAATGGTGATGCATGGGAGTCAAGGGGTGAGAATTCTTTTTAAGTAGCCAGTGTCCTTATAGGCCACTAAGACTGATTTGTCCCTGGGCTTACCAAAGACCCTGTTCACTCTGTAGCTGTCACCAAGACATCCATTCCTGTCATGGGCTTCCTATATTTTCTATGGGCACATTGTAATTCTCTTGCAATTATGTTGCCATTAGAGGATCCAAACAAACAGTGATGAAGTATGTTTATTAAAGCAAGTCAGTAGAAGAACATAAAGCAGATGCTTTGTTGGAATGTAAAATAAAAGATCAAGTACTCAAACTGTTTACCATATAAAAGTAATTGAATATTATGATCTATGTAAAAAGATACCAACTTTTCATTTTCTCCGGTGTAGCTTTGGGAAAGAAAATTTGTTGATCATAATAAGTTACCTTGTAAGCATTATATGCTGGAAGATTGATGCTAATTTGTATGTTCCATAAAAAGGGGGGGGGTGTCACTAAGTTAAAATTTTGGCATTGGGATATAATTCTAACACAGATTTATGATACTTATGCTAATCTAGCCTGCTTTCTAATCCAGTAAATGCTGGGTAGCTGTTCATGCAAAACTTCCTCAACTTGTCAATTTAGGATTTCTATTCCAATTTATGTACTGTGGTCAGCATGCAGTCTAGGTCATTTTTACATAAGGACATAAAATGCAAGTGTACGTGAGTACAACTAACCATGTGGTGTTTTCATGTATGCTACAAGCTAGACTCTCACCATTGTAGTTGTATTTTATGTATAAGAGTTATATGTATAAGAGGTACTAAATAAGAACGAATTTTGTGTATAAATCTGCATATGCCACAAGATAATCTGGCTGTGGAATGATTGTGTCTGTGAGCATAATCACTACAGCTGTGAATTTTGTGCACATTTCTGAAATTCTGGCACTTGACCTGTTGCTCAATATCTAGACAGTTAATGCTGATGACTGTTTCTTAAACTGGTGTTGATACAAACAGCATAATGAACAATTAATTTTTAATAGAAAAAGTGAAGGGACATTATTGCTATTTTGCTATTTGTTGCCATTTTATGAAGAAATTTTGAACATTTTTTTCAACACAAAAGAACCCACCATGGCTGATAGGAATTGATTTGTGCCACTGCTACACATGACCATAATCTGCAAATATACTGTTTAGTGGAGTTTTCCCTCATACTGTTTCATTCTTGCAGCTCTTTCTGATCCCTCAAAAGATTGTTCCTGGGATTATGGAACCTGTGCAGAGGAATAGTGATGTGGGTCTTGAGGCCAGGGGAACAAGCAGGTGAAATCAGTCTTCCTCTTCTGCAATTGCAGCTCTGCTGGAGGGAGGGGTCAGTTTCATCCCCTTCTTGATCCTCTTCACTCCAGCCCCCAACCCACATGGCTACTTCTCTATGCAAGACTCTTGACCACAAGTCTTTCTGGAGGTCATGAGGAGCTGCAAAAATGGGGAGAATTGCAGAAAAATTGTTTGTCTTGCATACACAGATGTTTGGAGATTTTTCTGGAGGAAGACATGTACACAGTCATAACTAGCAACTACCACTGAAATCATTTTAAGATCAAGGCATATGGTTTCTGTATTTTTTTACAAAATGCAGACATTCATCCACAATAATATGTCCAAGCAAAATGTTAAAGTGCCAGCATTTCATCAAAATGGGTAGCAATGTCTGTCTGTAGCAGTAGAAAAGAGTAAGAATCCAGTAGCAACTTAAAGACTAACCTACCTAACCTAATCAGAGATTTCTACGGTTCAAGTTATACTGTAAAGATGCTGTGAGATTTTGCAATCACAGTTGTGATGGTGATGGACTCTGCTAGTTATTGGCTTGGCTGCTTGCCGGTCACACAGGGTCTGAACTGTCAGAATGGGCTCGGTTTGCCATTGGCTGAGTTGCTCAGATGCTAATCAGCAAAAGATCGACAAACAATTAGGACACAGACTAGGAAAGCAGTAGACGTTTGGGGATGGGGGATGGAGCTAAGAAGGCACAGACCAGTAGAGGCAGGGGAGACCAGTCTACAGAAGAAAGACTGGAAGCAGTATAGGTTACAGAATAATGAAAAAAGGATGAGAGGGAGGATGAAATCTGAGGGCAAAAGGAAAACTGAGAGAGAGAATGGACAAAGAGAGGACAGTTGCACATGCTGGAAAGCAGTAGCAATATGGGATGCTGAAGTTTAAATATTGATCTGAAAGAACCAGCCAAAGCTTTGGAGCGAGTTTCTAATTTATGTACTTTTTAATTCTGAATACAGTAGAATTCAATCTTGTATTTGATATTAGATGTTTATCAGGAATAGGGCCAGAAAGCTGCAATAGGCCTATTAATATAGGTGATTTTCAGACTATGCTTACAGGTCACACCAGACTGGCCAATGTTTGACAGAAGTACATGAAGTAATGATAGGGATGTAAATAATGTTTCCAAGTCATTAGGTTAACCTAATGACCATAGGTCCAACTGAATAATGATCAGGTAATCAATAACTATCAATCCTCTTCCTTTCACCTGAACAAGTCAGATTTTGGCATCTAAGAAACAAATCATGCCCAGCAGCAGAGCTGAACTGTTTAGGAAGCTCCTGATTTTGAACAGACATAAATGAGCTCCAGAGACTTAAATGAGTCTCGTATGCTTGGATGGTTCATGTTCTCTGATTGTACCATTACTCCCCTTTCCCCAAATCATCCCAAATTGTCTCAATAAGTATTGGTCTTGTAGGTATATGATTTGTCTGTATGCACTGGATGGACACAATGGGTCTGGATCTAATCCTGTTTGGGAGGAAGGGATATGCATTTCTGTTGGACCTGCCACATAAAAAGCGAGATGTCAGGGGATGATGTTTACTTAGAACATGAGTCATGTAAATAAATGCTACCACTAGTTATGACCTCAGCTTAGCAAAAGCTTTTTGAGTAATCCTTACCATGGTTTATTTTGTTTTATGCCTTGTAAAATCATTTCAGAAGACTTGTAAACACAAATAGAAATGAACTTTTGCTAGCTTTATTCCTCTATTGACCTTTAATTGCCACTCATAACACTAACCAATTCATCTATGCAGAGCTATACAGTATATTCTGTAAAATATATGTGCAAGAATCCTATGTCAACATTCTTTTTCCTGAACTGTATGGATTTGCTTCACTGGAAAGTCTGAAATCAATAAAGTGCTGAAAGGACTTTTAACTTTTCACCTTGGCTGTTTGTGGTGTCTTTCTTTCAGATTGCCACCAGATGTAAATAAATAGTGCACCTCCCTTGAATAATTCATTCCCCCCCTTTCTATTAGTGAGCACTGCCTCTTTCTCTGAAGACCTTGAGTCAGATTTCTGCTTATACACCTCCTACAAAGATGCCCTTTCAGCAGGTGTACCTGTGGGTAGGTGAGCACAGGTCTCACCATGTGCTGTGAGGGTATTGCCAGGGAGCAGTTGCCTTTTATACTGCTTCTCCATCAGTATCTGATATAGAGTGCATCTCTGTACACAATGGGATGGCTCTACAGATGCCGTTAGCATTAGAAGAGATTAAGCTGGTTAATAGCACTCCAGATTGCACAATTCTGATGCCAAAGCTTTGCTTTGGTCATATTGTAGCTCTTCTGTGAGACACACTGCTTTAGATTGCTGGAAATCAACACCATAGGTACTATGCAAATGAAATCCTTAGAACATAGATTCTCCACCTCTTTATTAAGACGAGGAGATACCAAGTACACATTGTCATTTTGGGATTCATCTTTTAATATTTATAATGTAAGGGTTTATCTGCACATCGCAAAGTCCTAGTGTTTGTTGGGGAGGCTGACTTTACAGGCTGCCATATGAACCAACTGAAAGATAACAGCTCCGACTTGCAGCACTCACTGTGGTCCCACACAGAGGGCCAGACCAGTGGACAAGAAAAAAAGCATGATATATTTTAAGAAAGGGTCCTTAAAAAACAAATAAAATGCTCCTTCAGAAGTTACTGTTCTTCAATTCCCACCAGTGTGAAACAACGGAGGGGGCAGAACACTGTTTTAACTCAAAGGTATGGTGGGGCAGATGTAGGGTTGCCAACTCTGGCCTGGGAAATTCCTGGAGATTTGGGAATGCTGCTTGTGGAAGCAGGAATTTGGATGGGATTTCATGTAGAATCTACCCTCTGAAGCTGCCAGTTTCTCCAAGGGAACTGATCTATGTAGTCTGGAAATCAGTTGTAATTCCAGAACTCTAGGCCACACCTGGAGGTTGGCAACCATATGAAACCAAGACAAAAACACAAAAAACAGATGAAGTGGGGGAGGACGGGAAGTAGCCTTTGTCATGTCCTCAAAAGGATTGTCAATTTTCAACCTGGAAAGGATATACATGAAATGTACCAATCTAGTGAGTGAGCAAATAGCTCCTACCCCACGTTTGCCTTTTCTTCTCCTTTTGTCTGTCCTCTTAGATCAACCTCACTGCTTTAGGGAGAAGGTAAGGCAGATGAGAAGACCAGGGGAATGACAAGAGCAGGCACATCTATCTTAACTTACTTTGGATCAATTAATGTAAATGCTTGTTTTTCAGAATGCAGTGTGACAACCCTAGGCTTGCCTTGCATTTCAAGAACCAAAGCCCTGGAACTGGTGATGGTAGGGCTGCAGTTGATTTTCATATGTCTTCTGCACTATTAATGTTGCCAGGCCTTTGAAGATCTGTCCTGTAAGTCACAGTGGCTGCTCAACAACAACAAAAGCAAGTTCATCATAAAACTACCGTTAACCATGCTCATTCATTTGAGCAGGGAGTGGCAGAACTGATCTAGGTATGACATGATAAGAAACTGTAGCACTGGCGTCTTTTGGAGAGGGTTTTTTTTCCTTAGCAAACTGGCTTAAAGACACTGGCTGCTTGTGGAGACATGACCAGATGAAACAAACGCATATGAAAATATAAATTAATGTCAGAAAGCCCGAGTGTGCCATTCCTGTTGGCTGCCCTACCTTCGCTCCAGATTGCATCTAGTTTCACACTAAGAACAGGAGATAATTGGGCTGACGCTACACCAAAGCTTGGGAACATGCATCCGCATGTCTGTTGTGGCACAGCAGATGCCATGAGGATGTCCCAATTTCGAATGTTTGTGTATAAGCATGCGTGTGTGTCTGAACACAGAAAGATATGTCAGAAATTCTTCATCCAATTGAAGTTAACAAATGAATAAAGTGTTGAACTGTGGTCTTGGGAGATGTTGGGGTCTTGGGAGATGTTGGCTCAAGTTCCATCTCATCTGGGGGCTGCAGGACTAGTTACGCAGCAAGCACTAAAAAGTAGCTTGCATCTTTTCACTACCTTTTTTAGACTTCTTGCTACAACACAAAAGAAATTATCATTTTTACCAATACATTGTAGTCAAATCTCTGCAACCTGCTGTGATTGATTAGTCTCTTTGAATTAACATGTCTGAAACGACCCAAATTTGGGGTGCTGCAAGGTCTGCTGAGTCCAGTGATACAGCAGTTCACATCTCTAATTTTTGAAGTATGTAGTTGTCTAGATTACACTTGCAAAACTTAAAAACGTTTATGTCCTTATCCTCAGGTCCATAGTAGGATATAACTCAAGAGCTATTCTAGAAACTAGAAGTTGTGTATTGTGGTCTGACTCAGTGTAAGGCAGCTTTATTGATCTCTTAATGCCAGGATAGCCTGTTCTGACTCTCCGGTGTCTCCGGAAGAGGTTCTTTACATCACCTACTACCTGAACTTTTTTATAAGCAGAGATGCCAGGGGCTGAACCTGTTTCTGCATGTGTGGTCAGATTTTTGGTAATCTTATTTTCCACAACAATTTGAGCCTAATTTTTTTTATAATCACTTACGATCAGCTTTAATTTTGGATCAAGGAGGTTTTGAATCCAGCTCTAGCATGTGAAGGTAACAATAAAGGAAGCAGTATGATATTGTAGTTAGTGCATTCGCCTAGAATCTGTGTGAGTGTTTCAGATTCCCAGTACTAAAGTAATCCCAAAGGAGAGTAATATGTGGGTTTAATGCTAATAATGTCCATGATGTGCACATAAATATCAGTCTTGCTGCAGTAATGCCATCCAGTACATTCATTAGTCAAACACAGACAAAAACAGCAATCATGGTATTTGAACCTGTAATTTATGTATATATCATCAGCTATTGTGACATGTCACTCGCTATTACTCTTCCATTTGACATGGATGGGAAAATCACAAAATGCTACTATTGGTCTTTTAAAATGAAATCACTCCAGCATTTTGTGATTCTGCTTCAGTGAAGAAGGTGCCACTGGATTTTTCTTTTGCTACAATAGACTGATTTTTAAATACAACAAATTTAGAGTCCAGAGGCACCATTAAGACCAACAAAGGTTTATTCAAGGTAGGAGCTTTCGTGTGCAAAGCACACTTTATCAAATACATTAGAATGACAGTCAAGGTTCAAACTTACAGCCAGAGAATGGTCTTAAAGGTACCATTGGACTATAAATTTGTTGTACTGCTTCAGACCAACACAGCTGATGAACTGGATCTGATTTTTAAATAGTTTGAGATGTTGCCATTATCACTGAAATTGTCGCCAATAAACTTTAAAAGCAATGAAAAACTGGAGGGAAAGTATCCAGGGAGAAAATGTGCAGATCGTTCTTTTAGAGAGCCAGTTTGGTGTAGTGGTTAAGTGCGTGGAGAACCGGGTTTGATTCTGGGAGAACCGGGTTTGATTCCCCACTCCTCCACTTGTACCTGTCTGGATGACCTTGGACAAGCCATGGTTCTGATAAGAGCTGTTCTTGAAAAAGAGCAGTTTCTGTCAAGAGCTCTCTCAGCCCCACCTACCTCACAGGGTGTCTGTGGTGGGGAGGGGGAGGGAAAGGAGTTTTTAAGCCGCTCTGAGACACCTTTGGGTAGTGAAGGGCGGGGTATAAATCCAATCTCTTCTACTACTTCTTCTTTTCCTTGCTAGCAATATCATGAGGGGGTCAATCTTTGGAAAATAAAGGAGATTCCACTCTGACACCCTTTCTTTCTGAGTCCAGCTGCTGCATTCATACATAAAATATAAAGAGCTCCTGGCTGTATTCCATACTTTAGTTGGAACTGAGGCACTTCTAGGAGGCAAAGCCTAAGCCAAGCAGGTATCAACAACATTCAACAGGCAAAAGTAATTGAACATCTTACCATACAAACAAATAATGCCTAGGTGGCATTATGTAAGCAATGATTACACTTGCATTTTTAAAAGAGAGACAGAAACGCTAATGTCTAGGATTTGGCTGTTGAACTGAAAAACACACTACAAATATTTCAGATGTCAAATACTCAGAGGTGTGATAATGTATGGTCAAATCTGCATTTGTCTTTCCCACCGGTGTCCCAGCCTTCTGACTCCATCTTCAAAAAAGCTGTCTACATTTGGTTTTGTTTTCACACCTCAACAGTGCTAGCATACTTTTGCATGTCTGCATATTGTTTATCACCTTCTCATGGCAGCTCCACTGTCAATGCACCTCCCCACTGCTTTAAAAGAATCTTCTCCAAACAACGTTCAAACAAGCATAGAGAAAGACGGTGTCACAGCAGCACGAAACT